AAAAAGATGAAAATAAATAATAAGATAAGAATAAACATTAAATAAAATCTTAAAAAGTAAGATAATTATATAAAATAATGATAAAATATATAAAAAGAGCTTGCAAATGAATTTTATAATTGATTAAATTTGAATTTATCATTTAAAATCATCTCATTATTTCAAAACTTTTATTATAAATTCCTACTAAAATTCTTAATTATATCCATTTAAATGATAACATTTTAGTTTTTATCGCATTAATATGCAATTCTGATTAATTACCATATGCATGCAATCATTTGATTCAAACGTTTTTGGAGTTTCCCCTGAATAAATCGAAGAATTAATTCTTTAATCGCTTTTAGCATGATTTTTAAAATTCAATTATTTTAATGATTAAATCAACCGATAAAAGTTATAATTATTTGAGAAAAAAATTAATTCTTCGTCCTTTCAATCTTTTCTAATCACATTCTTTTTTTGCCATTTTTATCGATCTCTATCGTCTTCCCTTTCTTTTTCTTTTCTTTTTTTTTTACTATCTTTAATCTTAACTTTAACTGCACAACTTAAATAGCTTTCTCGAGAATTTTTCCAATTTTTATATTCTCATCCTGCAAACATACATGTTTGTTTGTCATATCTTATTAATTTTTTCCTCTCTCAACAACTATACTATTTCTTAGTTCAAAAATTTTTAGACAGATTAATTCACTCGATCTTTGTTTCTCTTCTTCCGGCAAGACCGGATCTCCTTGCCGGAAGAAGCCCAACCCTACCGCCGGTTAAAATCACAAATTCCAATCAAACCACGAAACATTATCCATTCAAACCAACTATAACGAAGCAATCGTCGTGGCATACCGAAACTACGAGTGAGTTGGATTGAGTTAGTCGGAAGATTTTTCTTGATAGGGGGTACTGGGTAGGTGATTTGTTCCGGCAAGTAGTTCTTTATCACCCATAGATATCATAATTTTCGATCCTACTGCCGATCGATTGATCGACCAATTGATCAATTGATCAGTTGATCAATGGTGAGAGTATTAAGGGATAAAAGGAACTTTTAAAGAAATATTCATCTTTCAATAATAAAACTGATTTCAGGATTGATCAGATCAATGGCAGATGACGAATTGGAAACTTACAAATTATGGCGAGTTCGAAAAACGATTATGCAGGTAATGATTTTCAATTTCATTCGTTCAGGATGATTAATCACTTATAGTGGTACTGTATATTGACAATAAGATAGTGATAAGAGCATCGAACTACTCGATATATACAAGCGGCAAAAATGTTTTCTGCATTGTCGATTGACAAAAACTGAAGGAATATAGCTGAAGAAATTCTTCGGACAATTTTCAGAGAAGTTTGGAAATTGTGATGACAGTTGTGTAGTGCTGATAGGACATTAACAGATTTATAATGATAAAGTGATGGTGACAGTTGTATTATGTAACCGGAACAGTCATGAATGTAGCATAATAAAGTATTGATGATATTTGTAAGAAATGATTTTATGATTAGATAATGATAACTGTGACAGTTCCATATCAAGTTTATGAGCTAGTGATGACGATAGTGGAAATGATAGCTATCCAGTGATAATGGAATAATGGTAAATGTACATATGAATGATAAGATAGTGGTAAATGTATGATTGCTAAAGTAATAGCAGCAAAAAAGTAAAAATCAGTGATCTTATTCCATTCGTCATCATGTGTAATTGCTGAAGTAATCATCATCGTAATCATAGTTAAACGTGTAATGAGTCATGATTAACGAGTCAGCATGATCAATTTTTTGCAGTAAACTATGTCCAGTCGTAATTTCTAAACATTCTATGTTTGATATACACCTTTCTATAGAATGAAATTAAGGCTTGGTTTTATGAGGAAGGCTAATCAATCATTATATCATTATCACACTTCACAGTTTTTTTAGAAGTTAGGTTTTAAAGAAGTTTTTTGAAATTTTGATGCCGTCATGTTTTGCAGATGTGCCATGATCGTGGATATTTGGTAACACAGGAGGAATTAGATCAAACGTTGGAAAATTTCAAGGAAACTTTTGGTGATAAGCCAAGTGAACGACATCCATCTCGTAATGAATTAACTGTTTTGGTAGCACATAACGATGATCCAACGGATCAGATGTTCGTGTTTTTCCCGGAAGATTCAAAAATTGGGATCAAAACAATTAAGGTTAGTAGTTTTTATTTCTTTCCTTGGAATACGCTTTCAAAGCCTGCCTTTTTTGTTCAGAATATCCATGCGGTTGTTCGTATAGTATAGTGCGAACCCATTCCATGTTTTTTTTTTTTTTTGCATTTTCTTTCGCACTTTTTTGCACTTCCAATGTATATGTTAGCGAAATCATTTATCTTTTCAAGGCAATTTGTCAACAAATGCAAGAGCAGGCGATAACACGAGCAATTATTGTCGTGCAAACTGGTATGACTCCTTCTGCCAAACAGGTCAATTTCGTTTTCATAGTTTGCATTTCAGATTCTAAGTGTTTAAGAGTTTTAGTTTGAATTGAATTACAGGTTTTGAACACACTGATATTTCATTTCACTTTTAGATAAGCTAAACATCGGATATTTTACAAAAAAGCATCCAATATAGTCTTTCTATGGCTTATTTATATGGCTTTTAATTCATTTTTTCCCCCTCAATTAGTTATTTGTTAGCTTTTAAGTCGTCGTAAACCATCGTTGATGTTTTTGTTCCTAGTGTTTTTCCTCCAATTTCACAACCATACAGAACTTATTCTTGTCCGTATGTGACGGACTGAATTTAATTTCCTCCTTTGAAACATCTGCTCCGTATCCTGGTGCGGAAACGTACCTATGTTCTTTCTTTGCGCTTCTCAAACCACTTAAAAACTGAACTCCCTTACCACTAACTAGTATATTGAAATTTGCTCGCAGGCAATAGCTGATATGGCACCGAAATATACTTTGGAACAGTTCCTGGAAGCTGAACTTATGGTCAATATAACGGAACACGAGTTGGTACCGGAACATGTTGTAATGACAAATGAAGAAAAGAACGAGTTACTGGGTCGATAGTAAGTTGTACTATTTAGTGCATTATATGATTTACCTGCTTGACTATGATAACGAAAATTTATGACACGAAGAGGTGAATTTAGTCTTAGTGGGAAAAATTGGATTGAAGAGTAAGGATAGCTGATGCTGTATTTTAATGTATTTTTTGTCAATGAAATTGGTCTTTCCTGTAACAGTAAAAGTAAGCTTTCAATGTTATGCAACAGTTTTCTTTGAAATTTGAGTAACAGTACATTCTTTGCCAAAATTTCCATCCGTCTCTGAATGTTTATTGTTAATTCTACTTTTTCAGTAAGCTTAAAGATACGCAATTACCCCGAATTCAGCAGAGTGATCCGGTAGCTAGATATTTCGGTTTACGACGCGGACAAGTAGTCAAAATTATTCGACCATCCGAAACTGCTGGAAGATACATTACTTATCGACTTGTTGTATAGTATATGTGACAAATGTATTAATGTGTTTTCTATTACTTTTGGATTTTTATCTGATTGTTAAATTTTGCAAAATTTTCAAAATCACAAAATTATTGGAGTGGTTAACAGTTTTTTCTTTTTTTTTTAGATTTTATGCATCTTGCCTTTTTCGTTATTTTCGAAGTTAGAAATTTAATTTTGTTACATGCGCTTTGCAGGAATTGTTTTGCTTGTCCTTATTTATTTTTTCAGCTGTTTGTGAATTTTTTATATTGCCTTTATTTCATCGGTTCATATTCTGCGGATGAAATGTGGTCTAACCATATTCAAAAATATTTATGAATAAATAGAGGAATGTATTTTTGCCTGCTAGCTCCACTTTCAAAGCTGTGGCTAGATCATAAGCAGGATTAGCAAGAGTAATAAGCAATCTTATTGTAGCAATTTATTGTGGAAATTTGAATTTTTCCTTCTTGTGGATGAATTAGACGAATCCTGAAGCATGATACATTCCTAATCATTGTAACTTCTCCGACCATCTCTATAAGCATATAAACTATTAAAACAAATGATAGCAATCCTTCATCTTTTATCAACGCTGGTATTATCACAGATTGCTAGGAAATGGTGGCAAAATAAATGCAGTAAATTGAAATATTGCTATGATGCTTTCTCAACCCATATTTTCTAATTATTATCACCAACGATAATTTCTTGATTTGAGATTGAAATAGAAGGAACGGGAAAAGTTGTAAATAGCGATGAAATCTCTTGTTGAATTCCATCTAGTCTAACCATAAAGTTTAAATTATACTAGATTGAAAGCTAGTTATTTTCATGCATCAGTTAATCTTAATGAAGCATCAAATGATCAGCCATTCGAATCTATCAAATAATTGTTCGTCATTCAGTTTACATTTCTCATTGCTTAGAAATTGATATTGCTTATTTAATTTTATCCTGAAATTAGATTGCATTACCACTATTAATAGCTTCAGATTTAAATAGGAAAAATAAATGGTTTTTTTTCCGGATTATATTTATTAAGTCAAAACTGATATTTCATGATCATAAGTTAGCTAGATCTAATTCTTTTTTTCTTTTTTGGCCGGATATGTTAAATTTTCTTGTGAATTGTTAACAATTTATTATCCAAAAATTTCAGGTAATGTGTCAGAATAGAACAGAACGAGATCGTCAATTGCAAATAAATTATGCATTTTTGCAAGTAATATTTTAAA